GCTCTCGCGAAGTTAGCAGTCTAGACAGTGTTTACGCATTGGCGATTTTGCCCACTTTGAGCCCTACTTTCGTCCAATTCCAGTGTACTAATCGACAAAAATCATAACTATTTCGCTAGAACTCCGTTTTTTCTATCGAATGAGTACAAGAAACCACCCATTTACCGATTTCAACTATCCAATAAAGTGGTCAGAATTTAGCAATTTTGCCAATTTCACATAAATTTCAAAACATGCCAATTTCCCAATAGGGTCCAGAATAAACAAAGACATTCAAGTGTATTTGATAGGAGTGAATGGAGACAAGTGGTTTTTAATACTTGACGTGCTGTTGGAGTGTGAGCAAAGTAACAGTTATGAAGGGATTCAGGGAAACCGGCAGGCTGGACTTCGAGTCCTGGAGATGGTAAGTACAGTGTCTGCACTCTGAAGGAGGGGTGTTAATGAATGTTGCAGTTTTATAACTGCAGTGTAAGTGCACTTCTGGTGCACTTACACTGCACACGATTCGGTGCACTTATTTGAATGATGATAGTTTTTTGGGGGGGGGGGAGGGGCACCCTGCCTTGGTGGGAAACGGCCGATGTGTTAATAAAAAAAAATACCAACAACCCAGGATAACCCAAGAAACTCATACGGTGCAACTCATTTCAATGCTTCATTGAGTACTAAATCATAAAACAATTGTAATATCATGAGTTAGAAGACCATACATATTTACAAAATGTAAATATGTCTGGTGTATTTACACTGTTGCTGCCAACAACTGAAATTTTTTTACTGTCTTCAACATACCATAAAATCATAAGCTTTCACCTGATTTTATTCCATTTTGTTTGATTCCACCCAGAAAAAAAAAACTTTCAATTTGCAGGTTTTTTTTTTCATCAAAATTTTGCCGAACGGAGACAGTTTTATTTTTTTGGTTATGCCACAATTTATACACGATTATACATGTTTAGGAAGCCAAGATGTTTTGGGTCTTCTAAATATAGCCTGTAACTGTATTAAGTTCTTAAAGTGATGTCAGCCTTCTTGTTTCAGCTACCTTCATTTATCTTAAGACATAATTGATGGGATTTCTAGTGCTTCATCACAGTCTGTACACATTTTTTTTTTTTTTTTTTAAACTTTGTTTTGCACTTGAATTTAGGCTGTTAGCCTAAGTTCATTTTAAAGCGTAGCCTTGTCTAAGGTATAGTAACAACTACAGGGATATGACCCATATACAGTGGTCCCTCAATAATCGTCCATAATCCGTTCCTGGAAGTGGGACTATTATCGAAATGGACGATTTTCGAATCAATTTTCCCCATAAGAAATAATGTAAATCCAATTAATTCGTTCCAGACACCCAGAAGTATCAAAAAAAAATTTTTTTTTTTACCTAAAAGATAGATTTACATGCACAAAAGAATGAACATTCAACATGACAGTTACCTTTATTGGAGGCTGTTGTTAATGAATGGAAGACAGGGAGGAGGAGAGAGGGAAGAGGGGGAATCCCCCTCCATAAGGACTCTAGGGCACTAATAAAATGTTTTAAATGAACATTGGTAATAGGGGTAGTTGATGAGTGGAATGGTCTGCCTAGTAGGTGATCGAAGCTAAAACATTGGGTAGTTTCAAATTTAGGTTGGATAAATTACACGAGTGAGAGGGGTTGGATTTGAGTCGGCCTGCACCTGAGCTTATTGCTTGGGTAGCCAATTTTTCTGTTAGTTTGGGGTTTGGGTTTGTGAAGGACCCCGGGCCTAGTATGGGGCCCAAAAGGCTTATTGCAGTGTCCTCCTTTCCAATGTTCTAAAAGCTATGGGTTGGGTAGTTTCAAATTTAGGGTGGATAAATACACAATGAAAGGGGTTGGATTTGAGTCGGGCTTGCACATGAGTTTTATGCTTGGGTGGCATTTGTTCTGTTAGTGGGTTGGATTTTTTGAAGGAACGGCCTAGTTGGGCCAGCAGGCCTGTTCCAGTGTTCCTACTTTCTTAAGTTCTTATTTAACATCACACTTACCAGTAGGGTGATCGAGGCTAGGACCTTGGGTAGCTCAAGAAGAGGATTGGACAAATATAAAGAGTTGGATGAGCTGAGTTTGATTTGTGTCATTGGGTAAGGGAGTAAATTCTTGGGTAGCTTTGGTGGGTATTTGATAAGGACCTGCCTTGTATGGGCCAGTAGACCTGCAGTGTTCTTCCATTGTTCTGTTCTTATTGGCTATTTGTTTGTGTGAGGGAGGATGGCAAGTTTATTGTTGGAGAATATGACACTAAAATCAACTCTATGGCTTATTATCTATCACAATTCAACTAATATGACATAATAAACAATATTAATAACATAGAAACATGGAATAACTCTAGAATGAATAAAATAAGTCATTACGTATGTCACGAGAGGTGTTGTGTTGTGTTGTTGTTGGATATATAAGGGCCACTGAGTGTAAGCCGTTCATAATGGTGGTGAAGCAGCAGCTGAGTCGGCGGTGGTTTTTGTAGCCCTATATAACTCTAACAACATTGGAGGAGTTGGTAGAATCACTGAATCACTAAAGAAGGAACCCACCACCACCATCACTACGACCTTCTACCACTGTTACAACTGTTACCACCATCACTACTACCTTCTACCACCATCACTACCACCAAAGAAAGCTTCTAGTGCCAGCCCTTTGGTAAAGAATGTGAGAAACACATTATTTATGAAAAAGTTTGTAGAAAAATACAAAGATGGTGGTGGTAGAGTGGAAGCTCTGAGAACTCTATCCACTCATTTGGGACTTGCAAATGAGTGGATAGAGTTATCAGAGCTTATTTCTTGGGTAGCATTGAGGACTGGGTTGGGAAAATGTTTCGTTATGGGATATTGTAAAGGACCTGCCGAGCATGGGCCAACAGGCCTGCTGCAGTGATCCTCCTTTCTTATGTTCATCAACAACTGCTTCCACTCTACCACCACCATCTTTGTATTTTTCTACAAACTTTTTCATAAATTATGTGTTTCTCACATTCTTTACCAAAGGGCTGGCACTAGAAGCTTTATTTGGAGCCATGGTAGCTTATTTAGCACTTGCAAGCACTAAAATCAATGGAATATTATGAAATATTTCATAGGAGCATGTGAGGGGACCGTCACTCACTAGTAAACAGTGGCACACTGGCTGGGAAGGAAAGGCCGAGGCGGCTCAGAGCGTGAGTACGTGTCCGGGACGAAGGACTATTAGGACTATTAGCGAGTTACCGGACCATTTGCGAGCCAATATTTTGACGAAAAAACAGGACTATTTCCGAAATGGACGACTTTCAGGCCGGACGATTATTGAGGGACCACTGTAGTTGCCTAACATAGAGAATCCTACCTGTTGCTAGGCAAATGGGTATGTAATAGGTGTAAAGAAACATGCCAAATATTTCCACTCATGCCAGGATGGACAAAGAGGATCACCTTGCCAGGTCAGGTGTAACAGATAGATTGTTTACAGCACATATAGGTTGTCTGAGGGCAAACGGGAAATTGTAGAAAATAAAATAGTGTATTCCTAGTGGTTCATTGAAGCCTACAGAGAACCAATATTATTTTCATAAATAATTTTCATAAAGTGCTAAACCTGTAGGGTCTAGCACGTTATGAAAATAATAATATTGGTACTGATAATTCTCTATGTGCAGTATACATGTGTTGCCTGCATTTGGTGTGGCTTCAAAAAATATTGAAAATTCTTGATACAGTGGAGCCTTCGTACTCAAGCAATTTGGTATTTGAACACTTTGTTCAGTAACTAAATCGCTCGGTAGTCGACTGTTTGCTTGGCACACAACAAAACAAACATGACCTGCCATATAAAAGAATGGGTCTGCTTGGTCAATGTGTACAGTATAAAAAAAAATCCTGCAGCACCCAGTGCATAATGATAAAAAAAACTTCTACTGTGTTTTTGGTTTAAAACAGCAACTTTGCAGTGTATTTTTGTATGGTATTTATGACTGTATTCTTGTTTTCCTGATCTCATTTGACAGAATGGAAGATAAATTACAGAAATAGAGATGATTTTGATTGGTTTCACTATGAAAAGTACCTTGAAATTGAGCTCGGTAGCAGAAATGTTCTCTTTTTGCCGATCTTCAAGAGTAAACAAATCACCCCAAACGTCCAATACACGTCAGCTGGTGAGTTTAATATTCTTTCACAAGTGCACTGATATTATTTATACCATTTTTACAATAATGCAGGAGTCTGCATAACAGTAAATCTTCTATTTTTTGTGATAATAAAAATTCAAAATGGAAAGCAAGAATAATATAAGAGGGGCCTGGAGACTTGGCTGATGAAAAGAGAAAATGCTATTTTAGTGCCAGGAATATCTGTCTTGTTTATTCTGGATGCTATTTTGAAATTGGCATCTTTTGAAATTTGTGTGAAATTGGCCAAATTGCCAATTTCTGACCACTTTATTGGGTCGTTGAAATGGGTAAATGGGTGATTTCTTGCACACATTTAATAGAACAAATGGAGTTTTAGAGAAATAGCTACGATTTTAGTCGACTGGAACAATAGAATTGGTCGAAAATAGGGCTCAAAGTTGATAAAATCGCCAATGCGTAAATATCATCGAGACTGCTAACTTCATGAGAGCATAATTCCGCAAGTTTAACATCAGATTTCATACTTTGGGTGTCATTACCATTGGGAAAAGATTCTCTATCATTTCATAAGATTTTTTATTTATTTATTTTTTTTTTTTTGTTGAAAATTTTTCGACTCTTTGAGTGGGAGTTCAGGATCGAGGGTCTTGACTTGTTTGGCTTATATAACAGAAACTTAATGAGTTGTCACATCACTGCTTTGGTTTTGGTGTATGAAATTGTTATGCATTCCTACATGCATATATGGTTTTAATGCTTTTTTGGGCTTGTTTGGTTTTCAATATCCAGGGATACCTTATAAAACCATATAGATTTATTGCTAATTTCTTTTAAAGTAATAATGAATTTTTATTACAGGATTTGGATGAGCGGGCATTAGATGCATTAAAAGAATTTCCTGTTGAAGGTGCAGTTACTGTACTCAAGCAGTTCTTGGAATCCAACTTAGAACATGTATCTAATAAATCAGCTTACCTCTGTGGGGTAATGAAGACGTATAGGCAGAGGAAACAGTATAACAGTAAGTACAGTTGTGTGAGAAGTCACAGTTCACTATTTTTCATTTCTAAAAATACTTTTATGTTTATCACAGCTTCAGGTTTTAGAACATATTATGTTCACGTGAGAACTAATACCCTGGCCTCCATAACCATAGGCACTAGCATAACTAGTCGACCACAATGGGTGGTGAATTTAAATTAGATTGAGTTTTTGCATTCAGCAATCAGTAAAACATAAGTGGTTACAGTAATGTTTTGAAGGGGTTTGAGAGTGTGGATTACCCTACAGAGAGAGAGAGGGAGAGAGATATTGGTGGAAGAAATGCTTACAACTAAGTTTGCTTAACCTTTTCATTGTCCAGACTCCTAATTTGAAACTTGTCCACAGTGTCCAAGATTTAAAAAAAAAAAAAAATCCTACTTTTTCTGATGAAATGGCAGAGAATCTTTTTCTGAAGGTAATAAAACAAAAAGTACGAAGTTTGATAGAAAATTGACGAAATTACACTTTCATGAATTTTGCTGTGTCAACAGTATTTATCGTTTTTATTGATTGGGCACAAGAAACCTCCCAGTCAACTATTTCAACTACCCAATAAAGTGATCAGAAACGGTAATTTTGCCAATTTCACACAAAATTCAAAATATTCTAATTTCAAAATAGGGTCAAGAATAAACAATGCAGGCATCCCTGGCACTAAAATAACATTTCCTCTGTTTATTACTTACATTTCCAGGCTTTACAGATGACTTCCATTTTGATTTTTTATTCACAAAGAATTTTTTATTCACATGAAAAAATAGAAGGTTTACTGTTAGGCAACATTGCAATAATTGTATAAATAATATCAGTGCATTCATGAATGTGCATTAGACCCACCAGCTGACATGTATTGGATGCATGATATGAATTGTTTACTCTTGAACATCAGCAAAAATTGAACATTTCTGCTACTTTGAGCTCAATTTCAAGAAATTTTCATTTCTAAAACCAATCAAAATCATCTCTATTTCTGTGATATGTCTTCCATTCTATGAAATGAGACTAAGAAACCATGAATACAACAATAAAAATACTCCACAAAAATCACTGTTTTAATCCAAACACTTGGTTGCACTTTTTCTTTTCTGATTATGCACTATGTGCTGCAGGATTTTTTTTTTTATATGGTGCACACTTACCACACAGACCCATTCTCTCGTATCTAGGACCAAATTTACTGCTCACAGCTTATCTGAGTGAGCTGAGCTTATGACATATTACTATGGCACTGTTCTTGGCTGCAAAGCCGTAGAACTATGGCAAGGATCCTCATGGGGTTAAACTCAGTGTACAAGATATTCTTTATTTTTTTTTCCAACAAATCGGCCATCTCCCACCATGGCAGGGTGATCCAAAAAGAAAGAAAATCCCCAAAAAGAAAATGCTTTCATCATCATTCAACACTTTCACCTCACTCACACATAATCACTGTTTTTGCAGAGGTGCTCAGAACACAACAGTTTAGAAGCATATACGTATAAAGATACACAATATATCCCTCCAAACTGCTAATATCCCGAACCCCTCCTTTAGAGTGCAGGCATTGTACTTACCATTTCCAGGACTCAAGTCCGGCTATATAAAAATAACCAGTTTCCCTGAATCCCTTCACTAAATATTAACCTGCTCACACTCCAACAGATCGTCAGGTCCCAAATACCATTCGTCTCCATTCACTCCTATTGAACACGCTCATGCATGCCTGCTGGAAGTCCAAGCCCCTCACCCACAAAACCTCCTTTACCCCCTCCCTCCAACCTTTTTGAGGACGACCTCTACCCCTCCTTCCTTCCCCTACAGATTTATCCGCTCTCCATGTCATTATGCGTTGATGGGGAGCTGGAGGTATTCAGTAGATGGCGGAAATATTTTGAGGAACTTTTAAATGTTGATGAAGAAAGGGAGGCGGTAATTTCATGTACTGGTCAGGGAGGTATAACATCTTTTAGGAGTAAAGAAGAGCAGGATGTGAGAAGTGTAGGGGAGGTGTGTGAGGCATTATGTAGAATAAAAGGGGGTAGAGCAGCTGGAACTGGTATTTTTGTTTAATAAATATATGAAAGAGGGGAAGGTACCTAGGAATTGGCAGAGAGCGTGTATAGTTCCTTTATTTAAAGGGAAGGGGGACAAAAGATATAGTAAAAATTATAGGGGAATGTTTATTGAGTATACAAGGTAAACTGTACCATAGGGTTATTATTGAAAGAATTAGAGGTAAGACAGAGAGTAGAATTGCAGATAAGCAAGGAGGCTTTAGAGTGGGTAGGGGATGTGTGGATCAAGTGTTTACATTGAAGCATATATGTGAACAGTATTTAGATAAAGGTGGGGAAGTTTTCATTGCATTTATGGATTTAGAAAAGGCATATGATAGTGGACAGGGGAGCAATATGGCAGATGTGACAAGTTTATGGAATAGGTAGTAAGTTAATAATTGCTGTAAAGAGTTTTCATGAGGATAGTGTGGCTCAGGTTAGTGTGTGTAGGAGAGAGAGATTACTTTTCAGTAAAAGTAGGTCTTAGACAGGGATATGTGAATGTCACCATGGTTGTTTAATATATTTATGGATGGGGTTGTAAAATAAGTAAATACTAGGGTGTTGGTGAGAGGGGTGGGATTAAATTATGGGGAATCAAATACAAAATGGGAGTTGACATAGTTACTTTTTGCTGATAATGCTGTGCTTATTGGAGATTGTACAGAAAAGTTGCAAAGGTTAATGGATAGATTTGGGAGTGTGTGTGTAAAGGTAGAAAGTTGGAAGTGAACATAGGTAAGAGTAAGATGATGAGGGTATCAAACGATTTAGATAAAGAAAAATTCGATATCACATTGGAGAGAGGGAGTATGGAAGAAGTGAATGTTTCCAGATAATTTGGGACTTGACTTGTCAGTGGATGGGTTTATGAAGGATGAGGTTAACCATTGAATTGACGAAGGAAGAAATGTGAGTGGCACATTGAGGTATCTGTGGAGACAAAAAGCATTATCCATGGAGGCAAAGAAGGGAATGTACAAAAGTATAGTGGTACCAACACTCTTATATGAGTTTGAAGCTTGGGTTGCAAATGCTGCATTGAGAAGGCGGATGGAGGCAGTGGAGATATCCTGTCCAAGGGCAGTGTGTGATGTAGATATTATGCAGAGAATTTGGAGTGTGGAAATTAGGAAGAGGTGTGGAGTTACTGTAAGTATTAGTCAGAGGGCTGAAGAGGGGTTGTTGAGGTGGTCTCGTCATTTAGAGAGAGAATGGATTAAAGTAGGGTAACTTGGAGAGCATATAAATGTGTAGGGGAAGGAAGGCGGGGTAGGGGTCGTCCTCGAAAAGGTTGGAGGGAGGGTGTAAAGGAGGTTTTGTGGATGAGGGGCTTGGACTTCCAGCAAGCATGTGTGAGTGTGTTAGATAGGAGTGAATGGAGACGAATGGTTTTTTGTAACCTGGGGAGCTGTTACAGTGTGAGCTTGGTAATATTTTGTGAAGGTATTCAGGGAAACCAGTTAGCTGGACTTGAGTCCTGGATATGGAAAGCTCAGTGCCTGCACTTTAAAGGAGGGGTTTGGGATATTGGCTGTTCGGAGGTTGACTTTTAAACTGTCGTGTCCGAGTACCTCTGCAAGGATAGTGATTGTGTATGAATGAGGTTAAAGTGTTGAATGATGATGAAAGTGTTTTCTTTTTGGGGATTCTCTTTCTTTTTGGGTCACCTTGCCTCGGTGGGAGATGAATGACTTGTTAGAAAAAATAATAATAATGATAATAATAATACTAATATCTCTATTTACTGCAAGTACATGTACATGGTATACAGCCCTAGCTGACATCAATGACATACAGTGGACCCTCCCTTTACGTTAGGCTCTGTTTTCACTCATTTCAGTTACCACCGAATTTTTCCGCAAAATTATTGGCATGGTTTCCGTTGGTTTCCTGCATTGTTGTCGGTGGTACGGTACATGTTTGAGTGTGCAGCACACACAACCTCCCACACATCAACCAAATAACTGCTGCAGCATATGGGCGCCTAGCAAACCTAAGAACAGCATTCCGCCATCCGAATAAGGAATCATTCTGCACCCTGTACACTGTGTACTTTAGGCCCATATTGGAGGTTTGTGGCACCAGTTTGGAACCCACATCTAGGCAAACACGTTAAGATACTAGAGAAAGTGCAAAGGTTTGCAACAAGACTAGTTCCAGAGCTAAGGGGTATGTCCTACGAGGACAGGTTAAGGGAAATCGACCTGACGACACTGGAGGACAGGAGAGATAGGGGGGACATGGTATTGACATATAAAATACTGAGAGAAATTGACAAGGTGGACAGAGACATAATGTTCCAGAGATGGGACACAGCAACAAGAGGACACAATTGAAAGTTGAAGACACAGACGAATCTAAGGGATGTTAGGACGTATTTCTTCAGTCACAGAATAGTCAGGAAGTGGAATAGTTTGGGAAGCGATGTAGTGGAGGCAGGATCCATTCATAGCTTTAAGCAGAGGTATAATAAAGCTCATTGTGCAGGGAGAGTGGCCAGTGAAGAGGCAGGGCCAGGAGCTATGACTCAACCCCTGCAACCACAACTATGCGAGTCCACGCATGCTGAGGAGGCAGTGTTGCTTTGTTTATGGTTGAGTGAACATTACCCTGCGAGCTCAAAGAATTATTTTGTAATACTGTAATTCATTGTTTCTTGCACTTGTTTATTCTGTGTGACTTCTAAGTAAGCCACCATGGGCCTAAACAAAGCTGCTAGTGTCAGTCCTTTGGTAAAGGAGGTGAGAAACATGATAGAATTAAAGAAAGAAAAAATCATTGAAAAATATTAGCGTGGCTTATGTGTGATCAACATTGCGAGGATGTATGGCGAGCCTGCATCAACCATCAGTTGCATTGTAGGTAAGAAAAACAAAATCAAGGAAGTCGATGTTGCGAAAGGGGTAAAAGTGATAACAAAACAGAGATCACAAACACT